GACTTGTCAGAACTATCGTTGAAGTCTTCCATTTCGATGTCCGCGACACTCATGACGGCAAGAAAACTCGCGAAGACAATAATCCTCGCAGAGATCCTACTTATACACCACAAATTCAAATATATCACCGCCAAATTTGAAGTTACCCCGAGTTGCGACAAATGTTGGGCAAAATTTGAATACTGCTGGATGGCTTGCGAAACATTCGCTCTTACCATTTGTTTTCAAATGTTTTTGGCTGTAATCACTCATTTTCTGTAGGAAGAACTATTTTTCAAGAAGGAACTTCCTCATCATACGCACGAAAAAATTAACCTGTCGTCAACGTGTTAAGACCTAAATCTGATAATGCCCAATTTGGTTCACTGGTTCCTGAACCTTCCAATAAAATAAGCCAAGTGGGCTGAAATGATTACCTTAAGAGATTTTAGATTCTCTCCTAGAAGGGTCATGACTATGTAGCAGTACTTCGTGTGTTTTGCGGCGTGATAGACGACAGGAATGTGTGGCTTCTCTCCTGACTCGTTCATCGATCGAAAAATCGCCGTCTAGATTAAAAGAATTTATTCCTAGACATGTAAAAACAATACTTTTCACATCATAGTGAACTAGCAGACCAAAATCTCCCGAACAACTTTCCTGCAATGAAACCGTTTTCTACATTTTTAGCCCCATGATAATTGGTTTCCTTCTTAGAGTAAAACAGTCTCGTGGATAAGACACCACGACATCACATTTTTCAGGTTACACACTTCTGCACGATTTTCATTCATGCCTTTACTTACACATGTAGAAAGCTGGATTCTGAGAAACGCAGATCGATTTCGGCCCTGGGCGTCTAACATCAATACCTGTGCTACAAAACATTGGTCCCAGTAGTGTGGGTACTATTCCCCGGAAATCTCGTCGCACTCGCCGTACCCGAACCCGTGCTAACAAGGGATAGGCAACTACCGTATCGCAGAAATTCTTTAAATGTGCCAAGACCCTGGTCTTAGTAAGGCTCAGTATACTGTAACCAACTTACATGGTACAAATGGAACGCTAGAATACACATAACCAATTCGCTACCAATATTCTTCGAGTGAAAATATGGTCAATGGAAGTTTTGAGGAATGTCTATACTCTCATTTTGAGGGAATCTCCGTAATCTCAATCAGCTATAATTCCGAATCTCGAGACACCCCTGAACACTTTCACACATCTTGAAAAGTCGGGTAAGAGGAAAGACATGCTCTGTGTTCTAACCAAATGCCGAGAAATAGTTCACCATACAGGTCTCGTCCCTAGAGAATGTCCTTTCCCAGAAGCTCCCTCTTTGAAGTTTTCCATTGCAAGTTTGAAGGGTACAGTTCATAGAAGTAGTTGGGTACCTCGAGCTTAATGGTCGATCCTCCTTCGATACTGTTTGGCTCGGCTTTCAACGCAGCCACTTTTCCTTTCTGTTTTGTGCTTTCAACCTGAATGCGATGCTGCAACTTTGAGTTCGGTAAGACACAGGAGCAATTTGGAGGGAAAATGATTTCTGAAAAGCGCTTTTGGTAGTGGCAGATAGTATTCGCCTTTCTAGCTGCTGATCATGGCATGTGCGATGAGATCTACGAAAAGTTATTCCGAACGATTTGATTAGCTACCTTCTCAAGCAGAAATAACCGGGAGGAAACACCCCACACGAAGATGTCGTGATGAATCGTCATAGCGCAATGATTGTCGTCGAATTTTCTCTGCCCTCTCTCATTCAAAGATTACCACCAATTTAACAATGTGGGATACGTGGCGGGAAGAGAGTGTAAAGGAAGGGCAGCGTGTTCTGATGTTTCTGATGTTACGGAAAAGCTGGTGAGCTTCGAACAGCTGTCCAGGACGTACCGGAGAAAATGAATCAGGCGGTTGAAGCTGTTGAGTAAGAACGACATCGGGGAAGTGGAGCGGGAAAGTGGGGTTAACTCGCTGCAGTGAGAGTGACTCTGGTGCCTATCAGAAAATTATGAGATCTGACGTATGTCCAAAAAATGTTGATCACCTAATAAAGTCCCAGATGAAAACGTCACATGTCGGTTTCAACATTCGAGCTTTACTTATGTATTATGTCTAGTTATTAGTACAAAAACTGTGGCTGTGGTTTGACATCTCCAAGGCACACTATTTCCACACAGAGTGGCAAGGTTTACAGACTTCCCATGTCAATGGGGCACAAACCCAGTGCTCCACCGTGTACTGCCCTGCCATTCAGCGGTCATGCCGTTTAGTACTAAACGTCACTCATGCCTTCCTTCTCTCCCCTCACCTCCCTTTGGGCAATTTTGTTCTGCCTACTTTGTCCCATTTAATGATTTTGGCTAGTATTAGCGCTCGCGCAGGATTCACTGCTGACCTTGCTACCTATGCCGGGCGGGCATCCAGCCTCGACAGGCTGAGCCCATACTACTTCGCATGAGCTGAATTTGTCATTGGGCATTCGATAGCTATGAGAGTCGAAATGGTGTGGGACAGCTAAGAACAGAGAGAGCAATAAGTAAGGACCCGCTCAATGTTTGTCAGAGTAGGGTATCAGTTTTAGACTGCTCCTACGTGTTTGGAACACAACGTTCAAAACCCATTCCAGCAAACAAACTTGCAAAACTCACGAAAGCAACTGACCAGCAAGCTTACTCTTCTTATATATCTGTTCTTTATTTGGACGAGTTTTACTTTTACATGTGGGCCTTACATTTCTCCTAGTTCTCTTACAGTTCTTACAGCTTATGAACAACTGGATTAGAAGTACAGTTCCACGTGAAACAGAAGTGGAACAACCCACGATGAATGGGTCCATTATTCAGTGATATACAGTGATTACGAGCCAAATACAAGGGCCCGGAGGAAAAATTTGTTGCAAGTAGCCATGTTCAAGCCAGCATAGGAGTTCTGGTAGAGATGCAGAGATTCATAGTTTCTTAACTCCACTCCTAGCTCTCATTCACCTGTTTAAAAACCTGCAGAAGACCTTCCCATGGGTATGACCTCCAAAGAATATGACAAGAAGCAGCGGTAGACAGCAGCAGTGACCAGCATCACTGGTTCAAATCGGCCGACCGCGACTGAATCACATCGTTTTCTGAGGCAAAGCCATGCCCACACCCATAACAACGAACGATTGCGTTGTGTGATAAGGCAACAGCTAATAAACTTTCATGCGTATGTCGTGACGAAGGATAAAAAATTAGTAGTAGTGAAGATGTTGTAGGCCCAACGTCACGACTCATCAGGGATATGTTCGGTAATTACTGCAACAGGGAAAGAAACGTGCCAGTATCTGCAGTGTAATGGTCACGTACGGTGGAAGATCAGTATGTGTGCTCTTT